GAAAGTTCTGGATATCGAAATCCAAGCTGAGCAGGATAAGCTGTCGCAATTTAAAGCCGCAAATGAGTATAAATTATTCTCCGACGAATTCTTCCGCCGCCACGGCCGCCACTTGATCGGAACGATGAGCACGTGGTTCTTGCTCGACGTCGCATTCTACTCGCAAAATCTCACTCAAAAGGACATTTTCCCGACCATGCATCTCACGCACAAGCCCAAAGAAGTGAGCGCTCTGAGAGAAATGTTCGAGACGTCACGCGCCATGTTCGCCGTCGCCCTGCTCGGGACCTTCCCCGGCTACTGGTTCACCGTTTTCTTCATCGAGAAAATCGGGAGATTCAGAATCCAACTGGTCGGATTCTTCCTGATGTCGGTGTTCATGGCGATCATCGGAGTCAAATACGATTACCTCAAGAACGAGGATCACAAACTGATGTTCGCCACTCTCTACGGCCTAACGTTCTTCTTCGCGAACTTCGGTCCGAACAGCACCACCTTTGTGCTGCCGGCGGAGCTCTTTCCGACCAGAATTAGATCCACCTGCCACGCGCTGAGCGCCGCCGCGGGAAAGGCGGGCGCGATCGTGAGCGCGTTTGGGGTGCAGTATTACACGCTGGATGGAAACGTGAAGAAAATCAAGAAGGCTATGTATCTCTTGGCCTTCACCAATATGCTAGGGTTTTTCTGTACGTTCTTGGTGACGGAGACGAAAGGGAGATCTCTAGAGGAAATCTCCGGCGAGGATGGCGGAAAGGACCGTGAAGTCGAGACTCAGATGGCCGCCAATAGGGCGCCGGAGGCGCAGCCGCCGTCGTCTAACTACCCAGAAGCTGCCTGGGATTGATGTACCAAATCCACCAGCAGTGGATGCATGCATGCAGCACTTGATCTTAGCCGTTGCTTAATGTATTAAAAAAAAAAAAAAAAACCTATACTCTTTACAGGGCGTTTGGTTGGAAAGAATGAATTAGGACAAAGAAATTGTAATTTGGTGGGGAAAGAATAAGGTGGAGTAAAGTAAGAATTCAAATTACATGGTTTGATAGGAAGGGAGAAGTGGTATAAAAACTAAAATGTCCTTGTGTAGTAACAATACTAATAAAAGGGTAAAAAAGTCATTTTCTTCCTTTATCCCTTTCCTTTCCCGGTGAATTGCAATTCATATGGGGGAGGTCCAACCAAACACTGTAATTCGGGTGGCCAAAAAATTATGTTATAATTAAATTGCAACTACATCCAACAAAACAGCTTAATTTGTATAACTTTTTAATTCATCCATCAATTTTGTTGTTGTAACCTAGTTATAAACGTAAGCGAATCAAACACTGTTCACTCCTGATTAAAACATTCTTCTTTCCAAAAGGTTAACCCAAACCCTAAGAGACCGACAGAACATCTGGGATGATGTAAATAATAATAATTCAACTGAACATGAACCACCTTTGCTTACTGCGCACAAGGAGCCCCTGCTAATGAGATTTGATCTGATCATTCTTTTCAAACTTCACCTCTATGACTAATTGAGTTGCCCATGCGGCCTGATTAAAACATTCTTGATTTTCTAGAATAAAGTCCGAGTCTTGATGCATTATTTCTCCATCAATTTTCTTGTTGCAGCCTAGTTATAAACGCCATTGGAGTAGTGCATGCAAATTTGTGCGGATGCTTCCCAACCTCCAAGATTGGCAGCATATCGAATACCAACTCAATTAAAATATATTAGGAAGTTAATATCAAGTCATCAAAAGCTACACCTTAGCTGTTTGAATTTTAATTTTAAATACCGCAATAAGCATCAGAGTTGCTTTGTTTTGTTTTGTTTTTGTTTTCATTTTTTTTTTCCGACCCATTAATCTTATAGTTGTATTAGAAATCCACGTATGAATTAACCTAAGATATTAAGTTCATGAGAATTTGCTTTCAGATGTTCTTTTCGTAATCTAGCAATTTGAGACAGTTGGTAAGTGAACAGTTAATGCAACTACAAGGTGGTCAGAGTCAAACTCTACGAAGGCAACTCGAGCTGAGGTGGGTTTATTTTTCTTGCCACATATACTAATAGAAGGCTTCTTTATGAGTCATGCTCTCTTGGGCCTATGAGAGGACTAAAAAGACAGTACACAGCAGAAAGAAAGATGAGCTTAACAGAACTTGACCAAATGCTATCAACCAGGTTTTGTTCAAGAAATCATGGTGGTTATTATCACAGTTAGAAGTTAGAACTCTTCCTACCAAAACTGTCCTGGCAGATCGAGGAATGTCTCGCTGTGAGGGAGTTTGGGAAGAAAGGACTTTATGCATGTCTGGTTCTGGTTGGGAACGTGTAAGGAGATCGATGAGAGTGTTATTTCAGAAGACTTCAAGAGCGGGCTGAATCAACTAGCGAGAAACAGGCAATTTGTTCTATGGTAGGCTGGACAATTCATAAAGCAATTGGAAGGGTTGCTAGTTTTACTATTTCGAGAAAAGAAATGAGCTTGTAACTGAAACCGACAATATATATGTAATATAAGTAAAGTTAGCGCAAACATATGGGGGAGAAGGCAACTCCATGGTTTCTTTCACAAATCACATCACAGATACAAACAATTAAGAGCAGCGTCGATATATTTCCTCTCTCCCAACACAAACTCCCCCCCTGCCCCCTCGGAACACAAAAGAACAGACTGACTATTCAAACACAAAACGCAAGAATCAAGCTACAGAAAGCATAGGGTATAGCATTCCCTTGAACATACCAAAGCAAGCTTAGCCCATGGCATACTTCTGTGTCCAGCTCCTTGCAGTACTCTCGTATTTGTTCCTATCCGTCTTGTACATGTGTGCAATCTCTGGCACCAATGGATCATCGGGATTTGGGTCCGTTAACAGGGAACAGATTGACAGCAACACCTAAATTCAGAAACAAACATTTTTAGCCAATACTAAAAGAAATGACACGATAAACAGAGCCAATGGAACTGGAAGTCTTCAAGTCTAGCCAATATATCCAGATCACACGAGATTACAAACCTTTGAAATCGTCAGCGCAGGGCTCCACTGCTCCTTCAAAATGTCAAGGCATATGCTTCCATTGCTGTTTATGTTTGGATGGAAAACTTTTGTCCTGAAAGCCACCTGCCAATTTATTGTGCTAAATATGTGAGAAACGACAATGTCATTATTGGGGAGAAAGCACATAAGTACTCATGAAACTTGTGTTCTTCTGAAGCATGACAAGTATCATTTCTAATCCAATATATTAAGTAATCTCGATATCAACATTGACAGTTCAAATCGGAACAGGACCTAGCTGGAAAAATAAGATCTGAACGAAACAATTAAAAAAAAAAAAAAAAAGATAATTGTATAGCATGAGTTCAGAAATCACAACACACCTTGGGTGGCTTAAATGGGTAATCTGGTGGAAAATGGATAGTAACAAGGAAAACTCCACCAGAATAAGGACTGTCTGGAGGGCCCATGATTGTGGCTTGCCAGTGAAACATGTCCTCAGCAACAGGCCCTTCAAAAAAGAGATTATTATTAAGGGAAAAAACACACCAATCATTATACCATGGACCGTGTTCATTTTTATTATATTGAATGTTTATTTTTAATACATTAAGTGTTCATCTTTCCAAAGTTCAGTACTAAAGGTTCATTATTTAGTATACTATCTAAAGATATAATAAATCTTTGGTACATTAATAATAAATCTTTAGTATATTAAAAACCAACATTTTTCCTTGGTCCAAAACCATGGTACATAGTATAATTTGCCCAAACCACAAAAAGATATAAAGCTGTAAACTTTGCAGCATCCCCCATAAACATGATTAAAAAATACTGAATTTCCTAAACGAATCAAGCAACAATAATGATACTACTAACAACAATACTTCAAAACACAAATTAAATTTTTATTTATTTTCGGAAGATTTCAATTGGAGGGGTTGAAACTTGAAATTGAAATCATACCGGCGCTGCAAGAAGTAGGAGGATCCTTCTGAAGATCCTTAAGCTCCTTCAAGATCCGTTTTGAAGCCATGCCCACACGCCCTGCGTTTCAATCATTCCAATCCCCAGTCAGATAGATCCACACCTCAATCATTCCTTTCCATAACACTTATCATTTCCATTTTATTTTTATTTTTTCTTCACATTAAAAAAAGCACAGAATGCACGAAAGAGGAAGCAGAAAACCCGACCTGAGATGAAATCGGATTCGGATCCTCCCCGGCCGGCGATGTGACGCTTTGAAATGCAGGGGAGATTTTTATTTTTTATTTTTTGATGAAAAGAAAGCGCACGCAATCACAGCAGAGAACAGAAGGAAGAACGATTCTCGGTGGGAACAAATTTATACCCGAGGCTACCGCAATTATATTTTATTATATATAATATAATATAATATAATATAATAAATAATACTCCGTAATTAATTAATTAATTAATAATCCTTATAGTATTATTACGGTGTATTATTATTGTCCTTCCTTTACGTTTGCGGACCCCCGTGATCCGGACGGAACATTTCTATTTTCCACCGAAAGAGCATTTCCTAATTCCTATTTCTGTTTTTTTTTCCCTCTTTTTTTATTGGGTATAAAATGCTACAAAAAGGAAATAACATTAATAAAATGATGTGAAAATCATGTGTTCATATTTACAATTTATTGATGAATCATAAGTTTTAAACATACAATTATATTGTATATATGATGATTTGACGTAATAAATATTATTTTAAGATTTTAGTGTAACGTGTCACTTCTATATGAATCTGTATTTATTATTAATTGATTTTATTAATGTTATTGATAAGTTAAAATAATTGAACCGGTGCTGAGACTCGGTTCAAGTGTCCAGACTCAGGATCGACCATAAAGAGTTCCGCCTTAATTAGGAGGAAAAAGTCAAAAGACATAAGGGTGGCTTGATAGTTATAGATCGACCAACTGAGCTGTCCATGCGGGTGATATCCCATTGTGTTGAAAAAAAAAAAAAAAAAAAAAAAAGATGAGCTGAAGGATCTTAAATTTGTGGAAAATAAAATTACAAGTTTATACACAGTATGAAACATAAACTCAATGTGGATATGAAGACCCTATTTCAAGTATGGGAGGAGTGTGAAGAGTTGGAGTTGAGCTTTCTGTCTGATTTCCAGAATTCATCTTTCTAATGCCCTCCACCATCTTCACTACTTCTGCCATTCTCGGCCGCTGATCCGGCAATCTGGCTACGCAGTTCATCCCGATTTGCAGCATCTCCACCATCTCTTCCTCGATGTTGGGAGACCGCAAAAGCACGATATCAAACACTTCCGCAGTCCACTCCTCGCGAACCACAGAGTGCACCCATCTTACTATGTGCACAAACTCGTCCCCCCCTGTGGCATGCATCGGGGATTTTCCCGTTAGGAGTTCGAGCAGCAAGACCCCAAAGCTGTAGACGTCGGATGCCTGGGTGGCTTTCCTCGTGTCTGTAACCTCGGGGGGACAGTACCCTGCAGTTTGAGCGAGAGGGGCAGACATGGGAGCTATTAGCGTTGCCAGGCCGAGATCAGAGACACAACCGTAGTGTTGGGAGTTGAGGAATATGTTCGATGATTTGATATTCCCATGAACAAGCCTCCCCCCGCTTTGTCTGTGGATGTAGGCAATGCCTCTTGCTGCACCGACCGCAATTTGCACACGTGTTTCCCAATCTAAAGGAGACCGCCTCTCACGCCTGATATCTGCAGTGTAAAAACGTAATCACATTTTAAGTGAACGCTAGAGATCGATAAGAATCAGTAGCAATTTCTATGTTGCATACATACATACGATCATAATTTGTGATACCAAGTCGATTGAAAAAGTTTCTGTGAAAAAAAAAAAAAAAAAAAAAAAAAAAAACGATGAATTTAACATACCATGCAGCATTGCTGATACACTACCCTGGCTGTAATAATCGTACACCATGAGCTTTTCATCCTTGGAGTAGAAGTACGCCCGCAAAGGAGCCACATTCTCGTGCCTAATGTTACCGACAACCTCCAAATGTTGCTCGAATTCTTTTCTCCCGACACTCACTTCCTTCAATCTCTTCACCACAACCGTGGTTGCATCCTCCAAAGCTGCCTTATACACAACCCCAGATGCCCCTTTCCCTAGGATCTCTGCAGAAGCTCTCAACAAATCTTCGAGATCAAAGGCAAGATGACAGCCTTCAAAGAATACCATGTTACCACCTCCATCCGTACTGCCAAAAGCTGCCTTCCCGAGAGAACCACTTTTTCTAAGCGAGTTTGGTGAGGCCAAACTTTTATCTTCTTTCTTTGAATAGCAAAGAATGAACGGGACCGCGATTACAAGAAACCCCAAAGCACAACCTCCAATCACAATTCCCAGCATTGCAGATTGACTAAGCTTTCTGGACTTATGTTTTGGTGAAGCACTGGGAGAAATAAAAATAGGAACTGGAGAAAGATGATTACCAGAAAAAGCTGAACCATGGAATCTACGAAGAGACTGAGGCACAATTCCGGTGAGGTTATTGTTGGATAGATCTAGTACCCGCAGGCTGAGATTGAGATCGGGAATACTACCTGACAGCGAGTTGTTTGCAAGACTCAAAGTCGTCAGCTGAGTCAAGTTTGAAAGCGAGGAAGGTATACTCCCGTTAAATTTATTGTTTGACAAATTTAAGGAGGAGAGGTTTTTCCATGCAGAAAAATCAAACGGCAGAGGACCACGAAAGTCATTGTATTGCAAATCGAGAGCTGTCAAATGATGAAGCTTTGAAAAATCAGAAGGAAAAAGACCACTAAGATTATTGGTTCTCAAATCCAATACCTGAAGCTCTAATAACCGGCTTAGGGTGTTGGAAGGAATCGATCCAGCGAACCCAAATCCAGGCAGTCTAACTGCTGTAACTCTAGACTTATGATGATTACAAGTGACACCAACCCAGCCAGTGCAAGCCGAGGTCTGATACTCCCAATTCAGCCGCCTCGAATGGTGTATATTATTGATGAAATCAAGAAGGGCGTGTTTATCTTCTGTGGGTTCACCTACTGCTAACCAGAAAACACCTCCACAGAACAAAATCGACAAGAATGCCAAGCCGGAGCCCATTCTTTCCTTCTCTGAGTTAATGCTAAATCACCTCAATTAACACTAACAGCCCCCTTCATCTATACATGAATTTCAAGAAACCAATAATCAGAGACTTCATTCCTCATAAATAGCTTCTATATAAACTAATGGCGTTTCTTGACTATGAACATTCATTTAACAAAGCCAGCAAATTAAACAATACGTGTATGTACACGAAACGTTTTGGTCAACCAAGGAAAGTAAAGGTTAGGTTTCAATGCATACAAATCATACAAATAAGCCAAAACCCAAAAGATTCTTCCTCCTCCCTTTACTGACTATCTGTCCTATAACCCTTTATCTGATTTCCTTCCCTTTTTTGTTTTTCTTTCTTTATCTGTTTGTTTGGACTTCTTAAACCAAATTAAAGAAAAGATCGAAAGCTTATATCAATCAATAATGAGCCAAATACTGCTCGGTTAGGAAAAACATCAAATACTTAGAGAGCAGAAAGATGAAACTCACCTGAAAATGAATTACCAGACAGCACTAAACCCAAGAAAATCCTTAATCTCCGGTGAAAATGTGAATAAATGAAAACCCACCAATAATCAGCTCCAAGAATCACAACTGAGCTGCAGAAAGCAGTGGCAGCTCTGAAAATGAAGAATCTTGCTCTGCTACTATCAGCTATCATGTACAAGTGGAAACGACAGATTGAAAGATAGCTCAGGGAAAAAGACAGAGAGACATCAATGGCGTTTGGTTAGTGTGGAAGCGAAAATGGTGGAAAATGCATGTGGCCGCAGTTCAGAACTGCTACGGAGAAAAAAAATGGAATTCGGTATGCCACCATTAGCGTTGAAACTTGAGAACACCATGAATTAATATATATGAAATTGTTGACAAATAAATCTCCTTTTTATTTTTCTTTAAAATAATCTACTTCTAAAATGGAGTCATGTCAAACGTATAAACTTCGGCCATACACTCGGGTCCAATAAAATATTAAGAATAATGTAAATCAGAGTTACTCAATAGCTCAGCAAATATAGTCAAATATTTTAAAATAACTGTTCACTTTAGACATAATTTACACATTGTTACAATTGAAATTGAAATATAAATATAATCAAATATCATACAAATAATCTGTTCACTTTAGACATAATTCACACTGTCAGAACTGAAAATCAAATCTTATTTCTTCTTTCAAATAATGCTGAACAAAAAAAACTAAGCCTATGCAAGCCAACAGGATAAACTTCGTGATGAGCAGATGAGGTAATCAATAAATTAATAAATTATTTAATTAATTGTGACGTTACTGTATTAGGTTAAATAATACAGATTATATTTGGTACGGAGTATTTAATTAAATAAATAAATAACGCATGGAATAAATTTTGGTTTCAAAGTCCAAATCACGAAGAAGACGACCTGGAAAACTTAGAAATTAGAATTTGACAATTGGATTGGGCGGCAGTGGGTCCAGGCTGCGCCAACCTTTCCGGCATCTTTTTAGCGGCCGCGAAAAAGAAGAAAACTAAATTTTACAAATAAAAATAATAATAATTTTAATACCTAATTTACTAATTACGTATACCTTCCTCTTAAAAAAAAAACAAAAAGAAATTGAAATATTTTAATCCAATCAAGTAATTTTTTTTATCTTTTTTTTTTTTTGTTTGTTTGCATACTGTATTCCAAATTAATTTGATTCTTATTTGAGAGGAGTGTGACTCAAAAACAAATTGACACACCAATATTAGTAGCATAATGTACATGAATATTTGTGAGTTTCACTGGCAACATATAATTCATCTTAAATGCAAATTTTCATCATAAATATGATTTTTTTTTTATTACAAAGGAAGAGGAACACCCATATATACTATTTATGCCTTCACCAAGGCTCGAACCTAAGACATCCCACATAATGGGCCAACCGGATACCAGTGGACTACAAGTCAATTGGTTAAATTATAAATATGATTTAACCAATTATTTACACGTCCCACCATCATTTTTATTATAATAACTTATAATTTATATTATATATAATACATAAACAAATTAAAAAATAGCACACATGAATAAACAATTAAAAGTGATAGACAATTGTGTATTTGTATGTGTCACTATTGAATTTCTAGTGACTACATGTATTGCACGCCATTTATTGAATTTTTTGTGTTGTTCACACAACGTAATTTTATTTATTTTTTCACTTTCTAAATATCTAAATATAATAGAGTATCTATGTATGAAATATTGTTCTCCAACATGTTATATTATTCACACATTATGTGAATTGACATCGTCAATTATAGATATCAATCGAGCCAACTCACTTAGTCTTGGGTAACTCTATGATGTGCTGATTTTTTTATCGACCTAAAACTTTTTTACATTTTAAATAAACATTATAAACTTTAAAATTTGACACACTAACATATTCAAATATAAATTAACAAATTTATAACGGATGATACATTTTTACAATACTCATGTAAATTCAGTTTTTACATTAACTTTTTAGAATATGCAAATTTTATTAAATTAAACCCAAATATAACAAGACTTTACTTATTTTTACCTAAAATGGTATTTAATTAATGGTGTTTTAACGCGTGATTTGATAAAGCTGCATGTGTACATATGTAATTTCAAAAACTATCATCAATATTTGACATAAGTGTACAATTAGGTATACTTTATTAGGTATTATTATGACATTTTGTCATACTACATGACTACATGATATGATACTTTAATGGTTGTTTCACTTTCCTAGGTAAAAGCTAGTACACCTAGTGATATTTATTTTAAACATATGATAATTAAAATACATAAAACAATAATACACATGAGTTATAGGAAAATGGGATAAAGGTTAAATAAGTCATTTAACTTTTATCAAAACAAGAATTAAGTCATTAAACGTGAAAAGATTTTAAATTAATACATAAAATTAGAAAAAAGACGTAATTTAACCACTTTTACTTGTTATAGCGGGTTAATAATTGGTCAAAGGTTATTAGATATGGAAAAGGAAGTTGACGGAGGACAGCCATTGTCCCATGTGTGGAAGCGAGGAGGAGACTGATTCTCACCTCATTTGTGAATGCCCTTTCGCTATGGAATGTTGGGATGTCGCCAGACGGATTGACAGTTTTGACATACAAATCTTCAAGCCTGTCAACGAGTGGATTCGCACAATCTCCCAAAGTCGGATGGTGATGGAAGACATCACCCTTTGGAGCTCCAAATTCGTGTACATGCTCTGGAGTATTTGGAAGGCGAGAAACAAATTTGTTTTTAATGGGAATAACACGACACCATTCATCACGGCAGACTTAGCCCAAAAGTACTATTAGGACGCTAAGTGGTACCTTGTCAAGCAAAGTGGTGTGGTGAATGGTTATTGGGAATGCATTAGTTGGTCTCCTCCTCAAGAAGGGTGGATGAAGGTTAACACTGATGGGGCCATGAGAGCGAGCACGGGCGTAACCAACGCGGGTGGGCTCATCCGGCGAAGGAAGTTGGGTGAAGGGTTATGTGACCAAAGTGGGGATGATGGATAACTTCTTAGTTGAGTTGTGTGGCCTAAGAGATGCTTTATGACTCAACATGAGTGAATAGATTAATAAAGTTTGGGTTGAGATAGACTCGACAACGGTGGTGACCATCATGAATGCGGATGGGCACCTAGAGGAGGTGGTTGACATTCTGATCAAAGATTGCAAAAGATCTGACTAGAAAATTTAACTCGATTCAATTCTCTTATATTGATAGAGAAGGGAACCAATGTGCGAATTAGCTTGTGAATCTCAGACAAACTATGATTGGAGAACCTACATTCTTGATAACGCCCTCAATAACATGATGGACCTGCTATGGGCGGAAGCAAAATAACACTCAGAATCTCAGAATTAGATAGTGCTCTTGATTGAGAGCCTTTGAAGCATAAAAAAAAGGGATACATCATCGGGTTGTAAGGATAAATATAAAAATGATTTAATTGATTTAAAAAAAAAAATGTTCGAGAGTCCAAATACATTTTATGGAGAAATATCCTTATATTATATTTTTATTTTTTAAGGGTTTCCTCTCGAAGTGTTACGACGTCGTAAGGAAGCAAGCGTTGCACGAAATCATTAAACGGCCACGATATATCGCATTCCAGTTAAACGGCTCCGAGCGTTCCGAAAGTATAAACCAAAAAGAAAAAATAAAAATAGACGAGAAAAGAGAAAGCGAAAATAGGAACCCTAAAACCTCTCAAAGTGCTAACTTGTGCAAAATATCGCGATAAATCGACCAGATCTCCATCTCTGCAACTCCCGTCTTGAGATTATCTCTTCACCGACGAGTTCGCTCACTCTCTCTTCTTTGAGTAAGCTTTTCTTTTCATATTTCTCGCCATTTTCTCAGTGTTCTTAAGCTTTCTTATGGCTAGTGAAGTACTGAAGTGACAAAGAAGCAAAATTTGAACTTTTTCCAGCTCAATCTCTCTCTGAATTGCTGTCAACAAAAGAAAACCCCTAAAATTGCCATAAATTCTAAGAAAAGTTAGTGAATTTTGATGTGTTTTGCTAAAACCGCAGAAGAGGAAAACGTTGTTCGTCTATCAATTTATTGCTTTTGTGGTCTTTCTTGCTCTGATTTTTCCAGCTGAACTGGACTAAGCGACAGATATAATCTGCATAAGTGCTATAGTTTTCGGCTTGGAAATCTTTTTTTTTTGGGGGGGTTTCCTCGTTTGTTTTGGCAATTGTATATACACAAATGCTTTTCCTAAATTATTGATGTAAGTTGTATAATGCATACTCGATACTCTCTCTATGACGGCTTCCTTGGCAGAACTCATTCGCCTTTCCCGCTGTTTCTCAACCTCAAATCGAAAGACAAAACGCTTACTTTCTACCCTCCAACCAAACCCTCGGCTCAACAGTTCCCTCCACACTGGAGATGTGTATAGTCGAATATTAGACAAGTGCCCAGATATCAAGATAATAGAAAAAGTTCATTCTAGGATCATTTTCGACCCAGACCTATGCCTAAACACGTCCATTGGCATCAAATTAATGCGAGCATATGCAGCTTGTGGCCAGACCAATATCACCCGGCAACTGTTTGACAAAATTCCGGTTAAAAATGTTGTGGTTTACAATGTCATGATCAGAAGCTATGTCAACAACCGGTCTTATAAAGATGCTCTTTTGCTGTTCAAAATCATGCATATGGACAATATTCACCCTGATCGTTATACCCTTCCTTGTGTTCTTAAAGCTTGTTCAGTTTCTGAGAATACGTGGTTAGGGCTGCAAATTCATGCACCAATTATAAAGAATGGTCTTGATTCAAATTTATATACAGGAAATGGTTTGGTGGCCATGTATGGGAAATGTGGGTTTTTGGCTGAGGCTCGGCAGGCTCTTGATGAAATGCCTCGAAGGGATGTCATTTCTTGGAATTCAATGGTTGCTGGATATGCTCAAAATGGAAGCTTTGATGATGCATTAGAGGTTTGCAAGGAAATGAACTTGTTGGGTCTGAAACTCGATGCAGGGACAATGGCTAGCCTTTTGCCTGCTGTAACCAATACATGTATGGAAAATGTTGCATTTGTGAAAACCATGTTTTTGGATATGGACAAAAAGGACTTGGTTCCTTGGAATGTGATGATGGCTGTATATGTCAAGAATTCTATGCCTAAAGAGGCTGTTGAAATTTATTTACAAATGGAAGCTTGTTCTATGGAGCCTGATGCAATAACTTTTGCTACGATTCTTCCTGCTTGTGGTGATCTTTCTGCTGTGTTATTAGGAAGGAAGATCCATGAAATGGTTGAGAGGAGAGGACTTCAACCCAATTTATCTCTTGAAAATGCTTTAATTGATATGTATGCAAGGTGTGGGTGTTTGTTGGAAGCTAGGAAGCTTTTTGATGCCATGAAGCTTCGAGATATTGTGTCGTGGACTTCCTTGATCTATGCTTATGGTATGAGTGGTCAAGGTCAAAATGCCGTTGCTTTATTTTCAAGGATGCTGGAATCTGGCCTTAAGCCCGATTCTATTGCTTTTGTTTCTATACTTTCAGCATGCAGCCATGCAGGGCTGTTACAGGCGGGAGAATATTACTACAAACTAATGACAGAGGAGTATAAGATTGTTCCTAGGATCGAGCATTATGCTTGCATGGTGGATTTGCGAGCACGAGCTGGGCAAATCGAGAAGGCATATACTTTCATCAAGCAGATGCCCATGGATGCTAGTGAGAGGATCTGGGGCACACTTTTGAGTGCTTGTCGTGTTTATAATAACATGGATATAGGGGTTGTAGCTGCAGATCATCTTTTCTTGTTGGCACCTAAGCAGTCTGGTTATTATGTCTTGTTATCAAATATTTATGCAAAGGCTGGAAGATGGCAAGATGTAACTAAAATTCGGTTGGTCATGAATGAAAGAGGTATCAAGAAAATCCCTGGTGTTAGCAATGTTGAGCTCCATAACCAAGTGCACACATTTCTTGCCGGTGACAGGTTGCACCCCCAATCAGGGAAGATCTATGAAGAGTTAGATACATTAATAGGTAAGATAAAGGAAGTGGGGTATGTCCCAGTGACAGATGGTGCTCTTCATGATGTTGAGGAGGAAGACAAAGAAAATCATCTGGTCGTTCATAGTGAAAAGCTGGCAATTGCCTTTGCAATAATGAACACCGAGGCAGGAACACCAATCAGAATTACAAAGAATCTACGTGTCTGTGAAGATTGCCACATTGCTGCCAAGCTCATATCCAAGATCACCAAACGTCTCATTGTTGTGAGAGATACTAGACGCTATCATCATTTTGAAAATGGAGTCTGCTCATGTGGTGATTATTGGTGAACCAATGGAAGAAATACTACTGATTATCAAAGCTGAGGGATAGAGGGATCAGAATGAGTCTTATGGCCTGAGAAAATATAATGACATAACATAGGAGGCCTTGCGTGCTTTATGCCGAGATAGGTTGACTGTGAATTGCAATGGTTACACTCCACTAAGAACTTTGGACCACTAGCTGCCTCTATCCTCTGACAGAATTGACTAAGCCAGACATTTCTGGTGTTAGCTAGAGCAAAGGCTGGCTTAACAATGAGAATAAAAGTTCAGAAGAGGAACAAACTTGGGGATTTCTTCTCTCGTGTAAAACTATTTTCAAAAAAAAAAAAGTAATACCAACTAATAGTGAATTCGATTGTTGTGCATTACCCTTATTATAATGTTGGCTTTTCCCCTTATTAATCAGTTGGTGAACATTATGAATCTTCAAACAATTTTGTTTAATGGCATCAAACATATGAACTGTAACTTTTATTTTTTATTTTTTGGATGTCTACACCCGAGAAAATCAACTAGACTTTCTTGCAGTGATACAGCTTAAGTAGGCTTAGTGTGGATAATCTACATCATTTTCTATGTGTGGTTTTTCTTGTTTCTTTTGCTGCCAATGATATTTGCATATGCACTTAATTGAATTCTTGATACCTGTAAATGCCTATTGTCTTGTGCATACTTATTGTTTCTTCAAATGTTTTACTCTACTGTGATTCACTATAGTTGCTTTAAATTTGTAACTTCTCATTAAGTTTTCTATTTGCTTCCTTAGGTTGGATTAATGAACAGCAAGGCTCTTCTGTAATCAGTAAGTGATTGCCTTTAGATATGTTATCATTTATGAATCATCATATTTCAACATTGAGCATATGAATTTCTAATGTTGGCGATCTTGTTTACATTTCTTGTTCAATGTTTTTAAATTCTTATTCCTTGTTTTTGCCTCCTTTATGGTTTAAGCTAAACACCAAGTATATATGCTTTCCTCAATCGTCAAAAATCAAAATGTATAAAACGATTAAAAGCTAATGTTTGAGAACTTTGAATTTATTATTTTGTTCTTAAGAAAATACTGATGGAATTAGGGAATGCTTGCATGTTGACCCAGAAAAATATTTGGCAGAATGGTCAATCAGACTTTTTTTTTTTTTTTTTTTTTTTTTTTTCCTTTTATCTGGCAGTGGTTCGAGAAAAAGATGTCTGTTGGGAATATGCTGAGAAGCTAGATGGGAACAAGGTTAGATGTAAATTCTGCCTAAGAGTTCTAAACGGCGGCATTAGTAGATTAAAGCACCATTTGTCAAGACTTCCTAGTAAAGGTGTAAACCCATGCACCAAGGTGAGGGACGATGTTAGTGACAGGGTGCGGGCAATAATTGCGTCGAAGGAAGAGGCAAAGGAAATCTCTGAAGCTAATAATAAGCATAAGCTTGTTGAGGCTAAATCTCCTGTAAATATGTCTGTAGGCAAAGCCCTTGTGTGTTTGGAGCCAGCAGCATCTCCAATTGGAAAATATTTTTCCCCTGTCACACAACCTATCCCTACTTGGGGAAGCAACGAAGAAAATGCAGAGAGAAGTATTGCTTTGTTTTTCTTTGAGAATAGGTTGGACTTCAGTGTAGCCAGATCTTCCTCGTACCAGCAAATGATTGATGCAGTCGGAAAATGTGGTAGTGGGTTTGTAGGCCCTTCTGCCGAAGCTTTGAAAACAACATGGCTGGAGAGGATAAAGTCGGACGTAAGTTTACAATCAAAAGATGCGGAGAAAGAGTGGGCTATGACTGGTTGCACAATAGTAGCAGAAACATGGATGGACAACAAATCAAGGGCGTTAATCAACTTCTTAGTTTCTTCATCCTCCAGGACATTCTTTCACAAATCAGTAGATGCATCTTCATACTACAAGAACATAAAATGCCTTTCTGAACTGTTTGATTCCATCATTCAAGATTTCGGCCCGGAAAATGTAGTCCAGGTAATTGTGGATAACACCCTTTACTGCACTGGTATAGCGAACCACTTGCTGCAGAGCTATGGAACCGTTTTCGTGTCCCCTTGTGCCGTGCAATGTTTGAACACAATATTGGATGAGTTCTCGAAGGTAGATTGGGTGAACCGGTGTATCTTACAAGCGCAGACAATCACAAAGTTCATATATAACAATTCATCCATGCTTGATCTAATGAAAAAGTTCACAGGGCAGGATATCATTCGAACTGGCATCACAAAGCCAGTTTCCAATTTTCTCTCTCTGCAATCCGTACTGAAGCAGAGGTCAAGATTGAAGCATATGTTCAACAGCCCCGAGTTCGTTAACAGTTCTGCTTGTCTAAATAAACCCCAAAGCGTAACATGCCTCGAGATTCTTGATGACAATGAATTTTGGAGGACAGTTGAAGAGTGTGTAGCGCTATCCGAGCCCTTCCTGAAAGTGATGAGAGAAGTTTGTGGAGGGAAGCCAGCAGTGGGGTATATATATGAACTGATGACTAGAGCGAAGGAGTCAATAAGAACATACTATATCATGGACGAGATAAAGTGCAAGACTTTTCTAGACATAGTAGATAAGAAGTGGCAGAATAACCTGCACTCACCTTTGCATTCCGCTGCAGCATTTTTGAATCCTAGCATACAGTACAATACAGAAGTCAAATTTCTGGGATCTATAAAAGAAGATTTTTTCAGAGTGCTCGAGAAGCTACTTCCAACGCCTGAACTTAGACGAGACATCACCAACCAAATCCGCTTATTCACAAGGGCTTCAGGGATGTTTGGCTGTAACCTTGCAAAGGAAGCAATAGATACTGTTCCTCCTGGTATGTCTACACCTCTATATACTCAACCATGACATGAATTTGCACTTAAAAAAACTAATTTTAATGCCCTTTCGTTAGCTACTTCATGAGAAGGCAGATAAAATATGTTCTACCAAACAATAATATACCCCATAGACAAAATATTTGGTTTATAGTAGGAAAACAGATTGTAGATGGCTGAGCACTCAATGACCACATCAGTTCATGAAAATCTAATGTCTTGGACTAACCAGGTTGGTCAGTCTGTAACTTGGTAACCTTATTACAAGTTCGACTTCCAGCAAGAGCGGCTTATTGGTTTCTTGGTTTGAGTCGGTCAACTATGGACAATTTAGGCTATTTTACCTCTTGTAATCCTTTGTTGGCTAGGGTTACAAGGCAAGGTTTAACCAATGCACACCCTCAAGTAGTGACTGCAGGTTTCCCTCGTCATAAAAAAAAGTTCTGATTTTCTTAGTATCTTTGCATTACTAAACTATTTTGCATTAATCAATTAATTCATCCATGAAACTGTTTTAAATCCCGCTGTGTTTATGTCTGGATCATTTAATGCCATAGACATGTTGCTGGTTGAATGTATAAGCACTTTCATAACTGTCTATCATCAACTCTAGGGATTTGGTGGGAACAGTATGGCGATGCTGCTCCCGTACTGCAGCGAGTCGCCATCAGAATACTGAGCCAGGCATGCAGCAGTTTCACTTTCGAGAGAGATTGGAGTATGTTTCAGCAGATCCACTCGGAGAAACGCAACAAGATTGATAAAGAAACCTTGAATGACACGGTTTACATAAACTACAATCTCAAGCTAGCAAGGTCTTTGTCTCCAAAATCTACAGACACAGATCCCCTTCAACTTGATGACATAGATATGACCTCTGAGTGGGTGGAGGAGGCCGAGAACCCTAGCCCAACCCAGTGGCTTGACCGCTTTGGTTCTGCACTAGATGGCAATGACTTGAATACCAGACAGTTTGGTGCTGCTATATTTGGTGCTGGTGACCCAATCTTTGGCTTGTGACAATCAATCTATCATAGTGTAGGCAATCATTTATGTTTCAAGCACATCACATGTAAGGAGATGATACCTTTGTGTGTATATATTGTATCTATCAATTGTGATGATCACTTGAATGTGTCGAGATTGACGAAATTACTGAATCACCCATAGTGTCCTTCTAAGAGAAGTTCATTATTTTCTTTTGAGAATGCATAGATTACAATGGCATACAAGGAACTTGTCCTTAAAGGGTTTCCAATTCTATAATGTATAAACCATTCATTTACATAAAAACACACTCGATGTGAACTAGTTCCCCAATGTTGTCAAGACTGATTGTTAAGGAGATATGCCAATGCCTTCTCTGTATCATTGTCAAACATGAGAAGGGCATCTGCGACTTTATTCGATGGGAACCCCATATCTCTCAGGCGAGTATAGTGATCAGCAAATTCCTTGACCTGAAAAAAGGTTGATTAAAAACAATCTCACTGTTGAAAAATGCAAAATTTGACATAAGGATGCATGGCCGCAGATTGCCATGTTATTCTATCATTTGATCTCTGATGAGATGATCAGCTATGATCAGCTATATAACTCTTCAATGCCGTGGATGTGTAGGACTCTAGTCCAAATATTCCACAGTTCACAAATTCGACCCTGGTGAAACCAAAGCCCTTGAAATGCAAATGAATAAAGATTTTGATAGCTCTTTATAAAGGCAAGTTACTATTCAGCACAAAAACATGGTTATTAATTAAATCTTCATCCCATTTTATCTGTCCTACACTCCTACATGGTTGACATGGTTGTTTTGAAAAATTGAATTAAAAATAACTTCAGTCAAATCTCGTTAACCGAACCAGACACAAAATGAGACGGAGGGAGTACTTCGTAGCATGGAAAAGAACAATAGGTTTGTGAAGTACTGCAGGAGAAATGCCAATGATGTCATGGCTTCAACGCCCAGCAAAAAAAACAAATAAAAATGGAAGCATGTGACTCCAAAATAATATGGAGTTGATGTGCATGCCTAAGTTAACAAGCAACAATTTAATAAGCATGCATGCATGAGATAGGCAAATACCTTGGTAGGATTGTCTCCAAAATTTGCAACTGCAAGAGGCACAGCTTCCCTATTCAGACCTGATGCAATGTATTTGTTTGCAATGGGGTCTCCGGTAGAACCCTATATTTAAGTAAATCCACTTTCAATCTCAAAGCTTGAGATTACAAATAAAGAACACATAAAAATCTTGATACCATTTGTTGTTTAACAGAAGTATAACAAATTAACAATTAAACCACTCCAGTGGAGAAATGTATTCAAAGTAATTGTTCAGAAATATTCAATTATAAAGTAGGCATTTTTAGCCAAACTCAAAGATTATTGCCTCAACATGAGATTCAAACCAACTATTATAAGACATTCACAAACCTATTCCACATGGTTTAAAACCAGCCAACCAGGATTGAAGTTGGCATTAAATAAGAAATTTTGAACTTATAGACCAACATTGAATGAAGAGAAAACAGACACACAGTTAACTCATTAGAAAGCTTTAGATTTACACCTAAACACTTGTGACCTAACTACCAATTTCTTTCTTCCTCTGTCAAGTAGTGTCAAATCAGAGGTTTCAAAGACAAATGCAACAAACATTAAAGTGCATAGGCAACTTGCAAAACCAAACAGAACACCATCAAAGCAAAAGATAAAAACTAACCGGAGAAGTCCGTTCTGGCATTTTTGGCAGAACATTTTCCAGTCCAAGCCCAGCCCAATTTTGGTTATCCTTCTCTGCTTCAGCCAAAATCTTCCTCTCAACATCAAAATCAAATTGGAAAGAACTACGGGGAATATCTCTGATTTGTGGGGATATATGAGGCTACAAGGAACCGTGATATATCAGCAACAGAAAATGGCTCTAGAGAAAATACAATACATTTTCCAAATTCAAAAAGCAAGAATTCAAAT